GTACAGTACACCGGAAACTAATTTACAGACCATAATATAGAGGTCTTTAGAGAACTTAAATGATAGATCATGAGATTTTACAGTTGGCCTGTTTTTAGAAATCCCACTTCTCATTTCTGGGACTGATTTGAAGGAGTATCATCCCTTTGAAATCTTACAGAAGTCATATCGCCATTAACTTTTGTTATCAGGGAAGGTGTGGGGAAACACCATACTCCTGACATTTTATCTGGCATTTATTTATTTATTTACCTTTTCCTGCTTTCCCAAAATTTAGGTAGAGAAACTACTGATTAGAATCATGACCTGTAAGAAAACCAGAATCTATTTCTGGAATCCACCTTGTTAGGATGAGGGAGCATTTGAACTGGAAATGGACAGAAGGACCATATTTATTGGCCTTTGGATTTTATAAATGAATTATGGATTTTATAAATGGGAAGCTGGCCAGCCTATATGTATAGAGGCTCCTGAGATAGGGGACTGTCACAATGGTGGTGGCATTGTGTTGTCTTGGTCATATAACCTGAAAAACCTGTCTGAGTGTTGTGTAGGTAATATGCCTAAGGGCATGCATTCTGCTAGTAATAATCTCTAAAACAAGAGTAGAGCAAAGAGTGGAAACTGAAGCTAGTCACCGATTTAATAAGTCAGGTTTTGTTTCAGAACCTAAGGACAGTTAACATTGGTTGGTATGGTGACCATTGCCCTCTCCCTAGAAGGAATGCTATCATGGCCTCCTTAGTAAAGAAACACAAACATGGGCTGTGTGAGCCTTCACTTTCTTGTTAGTTCTTCTGAAAGACTTTCTTTAAAAAAAAAAAGGTTTATTTTTAATTTAGGAAAGACCTATCAAATTATTATCCCTATTTCATAAACAGAATTACAGTAATAAAGTTGTGCTTTTATATCCTTGTTCTTTATTAAATGTTTCTTTAAAATGTTAACAGAAATAGGTTAAACGATGACTTCGAAATAATTTGGTGACAAACCTGTGAAAGGTTATATAGTAAAAGCATTGGATTTGAGTACGGAAAACAAATTTCACTTTGGGTTATATAGGCAGTGTGACCCTGCTGTAAGTTATTTAATATCTCTCAGCCTGAGCCCTCATATAGATGATGAGAGCACTGATACCAACTTTGCAGGTTTATTATAAGGATTAGAGACCATGAATTTAAAAGCTATGGCTCAGTAACTGGCAGTGCTCTAATTAGGCAGGTTCTCATTTCTTCACCCTTGAGATCAGGGCTCTGGGCCCTGACATCTTGTCCTGTGCTTCTGGTCCTAAATGTGGGTATTCCAGCCCCTTTACCACATGTCCTTACAGAAGCTTAATTTCTGTCTACAAATTTTAGGCAATTGTAGCTTGAAATTTTGTTAAATTATACATATACATTGTTGAAGTTTAGAGTTGTAGTAATAGATGACTATTAGAAAGTTCATGTAGGGCATTTTGGAATTCTGTAAAGTGTTCCTTTTTTTTGTAGTTGGTTTGGAATTGGTGAAAATAAAAATACATTTAAAAAATACTATTCTCTAAGAGCTTTTTTTTTTTTTTTAAGTTTATTTATTTTCAGAGAGAATGCACCCGTGAATGGCGAAGGGGCAGAGAGAGAGGGAGAAAGAAAGAATCCCAAGCAGACTCTGTGCTGATAGCAGCCCATGTTGGGGTCAAATTCCAGAACCATGAGATCATGACCTCAGTCGAAATCAAGAGTCTGATGTTACAGACTAAGCCATCCAGGCACACTCCTTCCCCCTCAAGTGCTTTTTAAAGAGGGGATAACAGGATACTTAAGATTGGTCATTATTAATCCTAGGTGTTATATGAACTCATTCCAAAACCTAGAGCAGAGGGGCCTGGCCAGGGTTCCACATTGCTCCCATATAGCTTCAGAACCTTCCTGTTTTCACCAAGAAGTTTAAGTTTTTTATTTAATATATCTAGTCATTTGAGTACTCAGATAGTAGAACCACCTTGCACCTGCCTGCTTTTTGAACCCTACAGAGTGAATTTTAAGAACGTGCTTTGAATCTGTTTTATTAAGGGTTTTACTTTTTAAAGAAACATAATTTCTGAACCATTAGTAGACATGCCATTATTTTATTTATTTATTTATTTATTTATTTATTTATTTATTTATTTTTTAATATGAAATTTATTGTCAAATTGGTTTCCATTATTCTTTTAAAAACCAGAAGAGTAAAAGGGAATCAGAGTATATAGTCTCCTGGGCAACATTCGTCTTATCAGATACTCACTATGTTGCCTGTTTTTTTCTCTCAACTGTGTCTTTATGGGCATATCATAGAAATGCCAACTTATGACCCGTGGTTGTTCATGTTCATTGCCCAACCTGAACTGCAGGCCCTCCTTACATAGGAACACATACATGGGAATCACTGAGTATTTTGAGTTACTTATGGTAAAATCCTGCCCACTTTCTGCGTTCTAAAAACATTCTGGTAGAACACATGTATTTGTATCTTCTACATAAATACAGTGGTGATTGCCAATTTTTTTTTTCAACGTTTATTTATTTTTGGGACAGAGAGAGACAGAGCATGAACAGGGGAGGGGCAGAGAGAGAGGGAGACACAGAATCGGAAACAGGCTCCAGGCTCTGAGCCATCAGCCCAGAGCCCGACGCGGGGCTCGAACTCATGGACCGCGAGATCGTGACCTGGCTGAAGTCGGACACTTAACCGACTGCGCCACCCAGGCACTCCGTGATTGCCAATTTTTTAAAAACTATGGGAACTTCTAGGATTATTTGTATTTCATATACTGCACAAGGCAATACTTTTTGTCTTTAACTTGTGAGTAAAAACTCATCTGTCCTGTAGTTTCTGTTCCAGATGTGGAGAAGACCATCATCTCCTCTCTTTTACTGCACATGAGGCATTTTATAGATTAGAATGAGCCCGCATCAGGTGATGAGCTCTCCCCACCATGGACTCTGTGTTTTATAATAGCAATAAGAACACCCTGACTTGGTAGAGTGATCAGTTCCTAAAGCATATTACCATATATCATTCTTACATCATCCCTGTCAGGGAGGGATGGTTTGGATGTTGTTATGGCTATAATGAAGATAGAGAAGTGAAGTTGTTGCAGACAGATTAAATGATTTGCTCAAGGTCACATGGTTGATCATTGCAGAGATAGGACTGGATCTAGGTCATCCCAGCCAACCAAGCTTATCTACCAAGCTGAGAGGAAGATCTTGCAAGATGGCTGCAGTTGTTAGGATTTTAAAGATATTTTACTCTTTTTTTTTAATCCTTTAATATGAAATAGTTTTAAATGTACAGAAAAGTTGGAAAACTACTGCAGAGTTCTCATATCCCAACATCAAGTTTCCCGTTGTTAACATCTTACCTTAAAGTTTAGTACATTTGCCATAACTAATGAACTAATATTAATACCTTACTGAAGTCCATACGTTATTCAGATCTCCCTCATTTTTACCTAATGTCCTTTTTCTGTTCCAGCATCCTGTCCAGGTTGCTACGTTACATTTAATCATCGTTCTTCCTTAGATTCCTTGTGGGTCTGACAGTTGGGAAGAGTATGCAACAGACATTTTTTAAATGCCCCTTAATTGGTATTTGTCTGATGTTTTTCTCATAGTTAGACTGGGGTGACGGTTTTTAGAAGGAAGACTACAAAAGAGGGTACCATTTTCATCGTATCATATCAAGAGTACATATTATCAACATGACTTAGCCCTATTGATGTTGACCTCGATCACCTGAGATAGTGTTTGTTTCTCTACTGTCAAGTTACTTTTTCCCTCCTTTCCAGACTGAACTCTTTGGAAGGAAGTTACTATGCTCAGACTGCATTGCCTGGAAGGGAAATATCTATATAAATTACTTGAAATTGTTCTGAATGGGCAACTTGCTTATTTCTGTCAACTCAGCAAATTTTACTCTACCATTTTCTTCTTCTTTTTTTTTTTTTAAAAAAAATTTTTTTTTTCAACGTTTATTTATTTTTGGGACAGAGAGAGACAGAGCATGAACGGGGGAGGGGCAGAGAGAGAGGGAGACACAGAATCAGAAACAGGCTCCAGGCTCCGAGCCATCAGCCCAGAGCCCGACGCAGGGCTCGAACTCACGGACCGCGAGATCGTGACCTGGCTGAAGTCGGACGCTTAACCGACTGTGCCACCCAGGCGCCCCCTTTTTTTTTTTTAATGTTTATTTTGAGAGAGAACGAGAGTGTGAGCACAGAAGGGGCAGAGGGAGAGGAAGAGAGAGAGAGAGAGAATATCCCAAGCAGGCTCCACACCGTCAGCTCAGAGCCCGACATGGAGCTCGATCTCATGAACCATGAGATCATGACCTGAGCTGAAATCAAGAGTTGGATGCTTAACCCACGGAGCCACACAAGCACCCCACCATTTTTTTTTCTTATACCTGGCAGACAGGTATGAAATTATGGCAGGAAGAGATGGAGTTATAGAAAGGATAGGTAACAATTCACACCAGTTGAGTTTATAGTAGTGATTAAGAAAAGGTAGATGCTGCCTTTATACTAGTGGAGGAGGGAACCATAAGAAAATAGAGTAGCCCCTTGAGTGATTAATTACCCTTAGAGAGCCAGGGAGGTTTGTTGCAAAATGGAAGAGTGCTGTGGTAATAAAATTATATAAGTGTGAACTTCAGTGTAGGAAATAGTATTCTAGAAAAGGACAACAAAACTTAGGAATTTGGGGAAAACAATGTCATTGAGCATATACATTTCCAGCATCTCCTGGATATGAAACCATCTCCCACCTCCTAAATACCACAATTGGCCATTTACAATGTTGTCATTGTTCCGAGCTGGGTGGGGAGCATATCATACAAATGTTTATCTTTTTTTTTTTTTTCTTTTTAATCCTCCAAAAACTAAGGAGGCTTTTAAACATAAGTCTGATTGACTACTTCTGGCTGCTTAGTTTTGGTCCATTTTGTCTCATATTTTGCATTTTCCATTCTCTCCACAGAACTCTATTCGGCACAACCTGTCACTGCACAGCCGTTTCATGCGGGTCCAGAATGAGGGGACTGGCAAGAGCTCTTGGTGGATCATCAACCCTGATGGGGGGAAGAGCGGGAAGGCACCCCGGCGGCGGGCTGTCTCCATGGACAACAGCAACAAGTATACCAAGAGTCGTGGCCGTGCAGCCAAGAAGAAGGCAGCCCTGCAGACAGCCCCCGAGTCAGCAGATGACAGTCCTTCCCAGCTCTCCAAGTGGCCTGGTAGCCCCACGTCACGCAGCAGTGACGAGCTGGATGCGTGGACCGACTTCCGCTCACGCACCAATTCCAATGCCAGCACGGTCAGTGGCCGCCTGTCACCCATCTTGGCAAGCACGGAGTTGGATGACGTCCAGGATGATGATGCACCGCTCTCCCCCATGCTCTACAGCAGCTCAGCTAGCCTGTCACCCTCTGTAAGTAAGCCATGCACCGTGGAGCTACCACGGCTGACCGACATGGCGGGCACCATGAATCTGAATGATGGGCTCTCTGACAACCTCATGGATGACCTGCTGGATAACATCACACTCCCATCGTCCCAGCCATCGCCCACCGGAGGGCTCATGCAGCGGAGCTCTAGCTTCCCATACACCGCCAAGGGCTCTGGCCTGGGCTCTCCAACCAGCTCCTTCAATAGCACGGTGTTTGGACCCTCATCTCTGAATTCCCTGCGCCAGTCTCCCATGCAGACCATCCAAGAGAACAAGCCAGCTACCTTCTCTTCCATGTCACACTATGGCAACCAGACACTCCAGGACCTGCTCACTTCAGACTCACTCAGCCACAGCGATGTCATGATGACCCAGTCAGACCCCTTGATGTCTCAGGCCAGCACCGCTGTGTCTGCCCAGAACTCCCGCCGGAACGTGATGCTTCGAAATGACCCAATGATGTCCTTTGCTGCCCAGCCTAACCAGGGGAGTTTGGTCAATCAGAACTTGCTCCACCACCAGCACCAAACCCAGGGCGCTCTCGGTGGCAGCCGTGCCTTGTCGAATTCTGTCAGCAACATGGGCTTGAGCGACTCCAGCAGCCTTGGGTCAGTCAAACACCAGCAACAATCTCCTGTCAGCCAGTCTATGCAAACCCTCTCAGACTCTCTCTCAGGCTCCTCCTTGTACTCAGCTAGTGCAAACCTTCCCGTCGTGGGCCACGAGAAGTTCCCCAGCGACTTGGACCTGGACATGTTCAATGGGAGCTTGGAGTGCGACATGGAGTCCATTATCCGTAGTGAACTCATGGATGCCGATGGGTTGGATTTTAATTTTGATTCCCTCATCTCCACACAGAATGTTGTTGGTTTGAACGTGGGGAACTTCACTGGTGCTAAGCAGGCCTCATCTCAGAGCTGGGTGCCAGGCTGAAGGATCACTGAGGAAAGGGGAAGTGGGCAAAGCAGGTCAGTGCCCAATGCTATGGCATTTAATAACAAAGTGTGGTTAATTGGCGGGAGGCTGACTTTTATTTACTTTGAACTTTACTCCACATTGAGAAATCGAGAACCATGGAGCAGTGGTACACGGTACATGGCTCCCAACCTGTTCACCTCCAAGTCAGGGCCATCAGGTGCCCCTCTCCGCAGTTTGCTGACAGCTCAGGAATTTTACTGCTAGTAAAAAGAACATACACATATTCAGATATTTCATTCTATTCTTTTTTTCTTTTTTTGTATCTAGTCATCCTCGCTTACCTATGATACAGGTCTCCCTACTTGATGGATGGATGAGGATAGAATGGAAAGGGGGGAGGAAGGGAGACCTTAGGTTACACAAACTTCAAGGTTAAGGACCCAGCCAGAAGACATTCTTAGATGCTCAGGTCCAACACCACCTTTGTCGATCTTCCATGTTATGGTTTCTTCATCTTTTTCCAGTGAAGTAACAATTCACAGGTACTTCTAATTTAACTGTAGAATATATATTCTGGACTCTTTCATGCATGAGTATTTCCACCAAAAGCAAGATCTATTAGGGGTGCCTGGGTGGCTCAGTCGGTTAAGCATCTGACTTCAGCTCAGGTCATGATCTCACTGAGGTCTGTGAGTTCGAGCCCCATGTCGGGCTCTGTGCTGACAACTCAGAGCCTGGATCCTGCTTCGGATTCTGTGTCACCCTCTCTCTCTCTGCCCCTCCCCTGTTTGCACTCTGTCTCTCTCAAAAATAAACATTAAAAAAAACAAAAAAACAAAAAAAACAAGATCTGTTAGATTCTTCACCATAGGACTAATCCTGTTTATGAGTTAGCGTTCAGCATACAAGCATTTAGAGAGCAAAAGATTACATTGGAAACCGTTTTTATGTGAATGAGAAAGAGAGCACTTGGTCATGTGCTTCTTGTTCCTCAACGTGTAAGTGAGGTCAGGTTCCTAACAGTGACGTGAATTGCAAAAGGGGGAAGAGATTTTTTTAAATTGTGGCATTTTAATACTGTTGGAACCAGAAGGATCATATAACATGATGTGGTAAGAAAAGCATTTTATTAAAATCAGAAATCAAGGGTTCAGTTTCACTTCTGCTAGTTTCTGGCCACTATCAGGGGTGTGCCACTTAGCTTCTGAGCCTCAATTTCCACTCTTATAAAAATGAGTAGAATAGCCCCTTTGTTACCTCTCACAGGGTTATTCTAAGCATCAAATGCACCGAAGTATATGGAAGTGCTTGTAAAACTGCAGTGGGCTGAAATAAGTATGGTGTAATTAGGTAAACATACTGATTGATAGAAGAGTAAGCACAGAGCCCAGAAAGGCTAAGTAGTTTGCTGAAGGTCACACAGCTGGACCCAAAATCCGTATTTCCTGAATGGCTTGAACCATGATAGTTTTCCCTAATTTTCTCTAAGTAGAAAAAAATAGGAAGTGCTCTGAACTGAAGCCAGCATAGCAGAAATACACAAGCTTGCCCCAAAACTCTCCTTAAGAAGTAACATGAGCACTGGGGTATTCTGCTGACAGGTTTGTGCCTCCAGACCCTACCCATGTTCAAGAGCTCTGTCTGTTCTGTGCCCCAGCTCCTCTTTTTAAAAAACCTCAGTAAGCTCCTTACACCCTTCTTTAAATGGTGTAAAAGGGAAATGCGATTCAAAGCCATAAAAACCCGGAGCCTTGTTTAACCCTCTGCCCTGGTGAAGGAATTACAAGGGTCCCCTATGGTGAACTCACTGCAGCTCACGGGGTAGTTGTAGAAAGGGGAGTGTCAAGAGTGTTGCGGTGCTGCAGCTTCTCAGCTTTCCCAGGCATAAGCGGGCCCCTAATGGGACTCAGACATCTGTTTTCAGTCATTCAATAGCCCTTGAGATGGTAAAAAGACTGTAATGGAAGCTAAATAGGGTGACACACTTGCATGTCAGCCAGTTCAGTACCAGAACTCAGACTGTGAAGATTTTGCCTTGAGAAATAGAGACATTTGGCTTTTAGAAGAATAGATAGTTTGTTTTCCTTTAAGAAGTGGAATGTGATTGTGGCTTCTAATGACACAAGTAAATTTTAATTTTGGTAGAGTTGTAAAGGAGACCCACTTTCTAATTTGTTGAAAAGAGTTCAGGAGAAAATGTAGTATCAATTTTTGTGTAATTTTTCAAGTGTAGGTTTTCTTTTTAGTTGAATAGCAGACCTTTCTTGTATATGTATAATTCTAAAAGATTGTATAAAAATATTTTAAGGGAGATTTAAATACTTACATTTTAAAAACATGTTTAATGAATTATTATTTGAATAATAAATAACCACTTTTGGGATAATGCATTTTATTATGCCCTAATGGAGCTTTAGGATCGTTTAGTCACCTTTTTCTCACAACATTTTGGGGAGTTTCTTTTGAGAAGATATTTCTTCATTTAAAAATGAAAAGCCACCAAAAATGTCCTGAAAGTAAACTAGCTCAATGTGATCAGAGCAAGAGAAAAAGCATCCTAAAGACGATGGGGTCTTTGAGGGAGTCTGGTTTCTAGGTGTAGGATTTCCATATTGCTTTGGAATGAGTTGTTCTTCTAAACTGCCAGGAGCACATGTGACCTGAAGTATATTTACCTTTAAACTTACTTGTGTCTATCACATTATTGAAGACTCTTAAATTCACAGAACAGGCCTGAAGTCACAACCTCAGACCTCTCTTCTCCCAAATGAAGTACCCCAGCTTCCCAAGAGTTGTTCTAGAATAGCTTTCTTGGTTTGGCTTTTTTTTTTTTTTTTTTTTTAAACAAGTCGCCATGGTGTTCTCCAAACTCCTTTCCTGCCTAAACTGAGGGTCACGTGGCCCTAAATTGCAGTTGTGTAGTTGTGTAGTAAACGGAACGGCTCTGTCCAGTTGACAGTCCTTCTGGAGAGCCGTGGAGAGGTGCTTCTCTGGAGGGCTGGGTGTTTCACACACACGTCATTCATCTTAGACTATGTGTAAAATCCTTTGATCTGTGGGTCTATCTGGAAAAGAAAAAAGAACGATACCTTTTTACCAGTGCCAGCTACTGGGATGTGAAGGGCACTTTCTTCTCTATAAAGCGTGGTGCACATACTTTGAAATTGGCAGTGGAGTTGTCTGTGAGCTAGTGTGGTGGTTGCAACGCTGAGCTTCCATGGAGCCCTCCTGTATCTGACGTGGGTCTCCTCTCAGTGGGAAAGCAGCCTTGACCTCACTGTAGTTTTGAGGTCAAAAGATGCCTAAGTTCACAAGCTCCTTCATTCATCTTCACCTTTTGACATTTGGAGACCCCATTAGGGAACAGCCCAGTATTTAGTTTTAAACTACTTGGAGATAAAGAATGGAAAACATCAAGAAAGAATGTTTCCGCATTCTAATATTCTTTCCACAAAGTGGCCCTAGTAAGAGATACGTGATGATCCAGAACTAAAAAGAAACAGTGGTATACTAGTGTGAAAACAGCAGGATCTAGTGCTGGAGGCCATTTAGAATTTATATTTAGGCTGCTTTCCAAAAGGAGCAAATCTTTGATACTTGTTGAACTAATATTTGAATGCTGTGATCTGTTACATATTCATGTTGGGTAATAGAACTAATTCTGACCAAATACAGACAATGTAGGCTATTTATGTCATGATCTTTTTCTTGATGTAGATATTTCTGTGTTAGGCAGTATAATGTATGATAAATATGAATCTGTAGGTATTGCATGGAGAATATACCCTGTTACTTGCACTTGTGACTGTAGTCTACTCTTTGGTTACAATATGCCAGCCTCAAGAATTCTTCATCTGCAGGGATCTTTATTCTTACCTTTAAAAGAGGCTGCAGTCTGAACTGTCATTCATTGAGAGAATGGCTGTCTGGATCCTTTTAGCGTTGACAACAGTAAAGGAAAATTGACATAGCTGTGAAAAGGGGTTTTCTGTGCAGAGGCTGGTATACTCCTTACATACATCCTTTTCTCTGGCAAGCTGTGATACCCAGCACTGAGGCTGCTCTTCCTGGGCAAAGGGACAGAGCCTGAATGACTCTCACTTTAAGCAGTTGCATTTATAAATGGCTTTCTGGACGGTCTCTTTGGCCACAGAGCTTCTGTGGAGCATGAATAAATGGGGTGAAAATCACCTGAATTACTACTGGAAATTCTTGTAAACTTTAAGCTCCCACTAAATGCTTCTTTTTCCAGGGTTCATAATTCTCAATACTCAACATCTTATAAATAAAGTTTCAGGGTGCCTGGGTGACTCAGTCGGTTTAACATCTGTCTCTTGATTTCGGCTCAGGTCATGATCTCATGGTTTGTGGGATTGAGTCCTACGTTGGACTCTACGCTGACAGCACAGAACTTGCTTGAGATTCATATTCTCTCTCTCTCTGTCTCTCTCTCTCAAAATACATAAATTAAAAAAATAACATCTTCTCAAGTACAGTCTTCCCCCAGGTGCCACATATGCTTCTCATAAGGCTTCCCTTTCTGTATGGAAACTGGAGAAAGGACCTTGACGGGATCTACTTCTGTGCTATTACTGGAGAGATTGGCCAGGGGGCTGCCTTGTTCCTGGGGCGGGGAGAAGGATGTTTGCTGACTGCTTGCTCTTTCCGACTTGGAGATGCATGCTTTAATGCTAGATTTTCATTCCAAGGTGGAGAATCCCCACTTTGTAAGAGGCATCCCCCACTTCACCCTGGTTTTATTAATGTGTTCATTTGATTTAAAAAACATTACTTTCCCCCATCGTCCAAATTGTTTTGAAGTTCCAAAAACTAAAATGAGTTAAAATTTTGTTTTGAAGGGAGCCTGGGTGGCTCATTTGGTTAAGTGTCCAACTTTGGCTCAGGTCATAATTTTGTGGTTCATGAGTTTGAGCCCTGCATCGGGCTCTCTGCTGTCAGCACGGAGCCCGCTTCAGATCCTCTGCCCCTCCCCCCCCCCCCCCCCACCAAATAAAATAAATAAGTTTTTAAAAATGGTAAAAAAGTAAAA